AAGCTTGAGAAGCTATTTTTTCTTTTTTTTTTTTTTTTTTTTTTCTCTTGTAAAATAAAACGTAACTTAAATGTATATTTTATTAGATGCGTAAAGACACATCATGTTTCTTATGGTCTATGGTTAAATTATTATATTGTTACCTTAGTTTCACACACAATTGTGTGATACTCATAGAGAGCAGAGATCCATTAAAAGAAATATGACGGATATTTTAAATCGTTAGTGAACATTTATATGATACGTTTCTTCTCTCGGAATAAAGAAAAAAAAGAAAGAAAGAAAGAAAGATAGAAAGAAAGGAAGAGACGAATAGACATTTTTCTTTTATCGATCTTTTTCTAAAAATAAAGTCGATTTTCTATACCCCCTTCTCCATTATCTTCTTTCTCTTTTTGCTCTTTTCTATAATATCCTCACATACACATTTATATACATATATATACGTGTGTGTATCATGCTTCGTATCACTTTTCTCTTCCGTCATAGTATCTCTCTCGAAAGTTTCGAGAGCACCAGAATATGAGTTGTCACTTCGTATCGATGACAGAGATCTTGACCTGAAATTGTTACATCCTCGACATACTCCTTTAAGTTCGCATAAGTACCGATATAAGCTTTATTAAAATGCTTCGCACTCCGATTCATTAATAATTCATTTTCTCTCTTTCGTTCTACATTTCTTTTTTCTTTTTTACACATTTCAAAATTAATTTTATTATCTTTCTGTGAATTACTTTTTTTCTAGTTTTTTTTTCTTTTAGATTTTTATTGAAATAAGAATATTTGCACGCGTGTGTGTGTGTGTGAGTGTGCACGCATGTGCGTTAAGAAGGTGAGCTTGGGTATAGATGAAAAATATTCATGGAATTATTCATTCCTATCACAGATGTGTCACATATCGTAGAATTTCAAATGATCTTGTAAGATGTCTCAAGTATGCGTCAATGCTATTCCCATAGTGTAACCACAGTGTTACCTAATTCTACGATTAGATTGCTCAGATTAGACTGCTGGGAAATTGAATGAAGTTAACCCTACTTGTTTCTGAGTAGATGTCTCTTGACTATGATATATAACATAATTTATTAACTTTACGGTTCTATTAATCATTTTGATTTGACTCGTCACACGATTATACGTATGTATACGTTTTCATAGTA